GAGAGAGAGAGATAGAGAAAACTTGACTACATTTGTCACATGTAGGGAAGAAACAACAGTTTTTCACTTATTCGAAGCAACAATTTTTCACTTATTCTTACTTTTCTCGCCGTGTCTATGCACTCCACCAATGCCCCCAGTGACAAAGACAGGTATGCCAACCTTCAGATACAATATACACACACCAACATAGAACAGAATCAAGAAAGAAAAAAAAGCATTATATCTACACAAATGATTGTGTTTTTTTCTCATATGGAAGCAAGCCTAATAAAACATACAAACTACCTTGGATGCAAAAAACATTGTTGCAGAGACAGTTGTTGCCCCATTTCCTCTGGTTGCAACCTGCAACCAGAAATAATCATATAAGTAGTAAAATCTGATTACCAATTATTTCTTTTACTGCCAATAAATAAGCAAGCCTTACATAAATCTAGACTAGAAAGTTGACACAACAAGGAGCAGATCAAGTTCATACATAGATGGAATGGAGATGTAAAATGAATAATTCTGGATTCAGAGTGAAAGAAGCTTCAGTGTCAAGTATATAGGCCAGAGAATATTGACTATCAGTCATGGACTTGTTACTTAATAGTCTTGATCCAGACATAATCAACAGAACATTGGAAATATATGATGAGCAGACGAAAGGAAGGTCATTAGATATGATTCAAGGAAATATCTAAGCACACCAAAGAAAGGCCATTGGATATGTTTTGAGAGTTTGAATAGCAAGTGTCTTCATCTCTGTTGTGCCGCTTTAAGGCTTGCAATGGGCTGGGCCTGGCCCTACAGCAGGACTGGGGCAAGCTGGGCAATGTTTTCATTAAATGTGGCCAGCCTGGGTCATGAATTGCCTGGCCCAGGCCCAGCCTGAGCAGCGGACCTTAGTCCAGGGCTCAGCCTGCAGGCCACAAATGTTGGTCCGGCCCTATACAAGACAGGCCCCTGCCTATTGCCAGCCCTACACACCCTTTACCATGTTCATGCAGTAAGACCCAACCCATCGCATCCTTTAATTTGTTCAACCCAAATGGTACTTTTTAAGATCTACCATCAGTTAATTTTCATAATATATTCCACAAAGAAAGATATGTCAATATCTGAGATCTGTAGTCACATTCTTCAGTGTCACTATTCAATAAAATTGTTGCGATACCTGCTGCACTCCAATTAAAGAGAACCAAAGCTAATACAAGCCAGAGCATTTAACAGACGTAATACAAGACAGGGTATTTAACAGATGTAATACAAGACAGAGTATTTAACAGATCTAATACAAGCCAGAGTACTGACAAATGTGTGATGAGAAACCTCAGGCCTAAGATCACACAAGTTGCCTATTGCAATTGAATATAAACAAATTAGTTAATGTAACAGTATTTCCGATTTCCAATTAACAAGGGGGAAACAAATGTTTCTAATATGTCCACATTCTAATAACTAGAACAATTTCTCATGGACAAATCCAAAACAGGAGTGCTGAGATCGTTGCTTTTAAGTTGAAAGCAAATGATAAGTCCCCAAACAAATCTTCAAGTGCAAGTGTAGCTTGACTTACAACATATGGAATGTCCCTACGCGCTGTCTTTTGAGCTTTCTTGCCTAGAGAAGCCAGCAATTTCAACTCTTCATGATTTAAACCTAAAATACCAAAGAAAGTTGACTCTTGTCATAAACAAATGCATACATTTTCAGGAGGAATCAAGGAACTCAAGAATAAGACTTTTTTCTTTTAAGAGAGAGAGAATCTTAAGAAATAATGTTCAGTGTCTTCATTTCAAAAGCTGAACAACCATGCATTATTGTCAAATATATCAGGCTTAAGAAACAAGACGTTTTTTGATGTTTAAAGATAAAGAATTCAATTTATTGATCATTTACAAATTAGTACACAATAACCATAACAATGAAGATGACTATGGAAGGAATCCCATAAACTCGGACCTACTCCAGAAGTCCCATATTTAGGTTAGCAAATCAATGGCTCCATTGGCTTTCCTCTGTATGCACTGCTATGAGAACTCCATAGAGCTTACAACCTCTATTCTTCCAAGACATCAGCATGCTGCATGCCGCGATGCAAAACCAAGGAGTTCACTAACCTGAGAAATCACATTAAGATGGCTCTGAACACTGTTAGGGTCTCAAGAATGATGATACATAAATCCTGACTCCTTCTAGTTCATGCATCCACACCCATGGAGGTCACTACCTCCAGTCAGTCATCTATAAGCCCTTTTAACTCCAACAACCCCATTACAGAATATCAAAAGTCAATGGATACATTAAGTTGTTCAAAATACACCCAAATAAAGAAGGTGTACTCATAAAAAATATCTGGGTAATGGCACATTACTCCCACGCAAAAGATTTTGTCTACCCTCTTACTCTATAACTGGAGAGTCAACCTCCTCAATGGCACTTAATCAGAATCTCTAAGGAGGTGAAGAATAGTATAGATCATCATCATCACTGCATATTGAAAAACAGAAAAAACTACCACCACCATATCATTACAATAGAAGCTACATATTCAAGAAAGGTAATTAATGGTGATCACATTTTCAAGACCCTATGGAACCAAGTCCAACAGCTTTAATGCAATGTTATTAAGACTGGACTTGCCCAGTCAGTCTACGATTGGACTGGGAATGGAACGTGGAACAGGTTACATCTGATCACTGAACCAGCAATTGTTCAGAACTGTCAGAACCACTCTAAACCAGCCGGTTCAAAAAATTGGACTGGTTGACGATCCGATCCAATCCAAACCAGTTTTGACCAATTTTTCAGACTTCTTGTATTTTTTATTCATATTTTCCAAACTGGTCTGACCAGTGAACCAGCCAATTCGACCAGTTTGGGCTAGACCAGTGTCCTAGCTGATTTGACGACCGGCCCAATCCTAATAACATTGATTAGAAGTCTCAAAGTAAACCCCTCGTATAAAAAACTGACTCACTAGCAACTGTTGGAGATGTTTATATAGGATAAGTAATTTAAGTGCAGCAGAGTGACAATACAAATGAATAATTATTTTTTCGCCAGGAAAATTTGCATCTAAATAATACACAAGAAAAGATATGCTGTATTAAAATATAACCATTTTAACAATCGATTCAAACATTAAAACATCTGCACCACATTGAAGATAAATTCAACTTTACCTATGTGCGGAACACCATCTAAGATGGCTATAGTTGCAGGAATCGCCCCGTTTTCCTTTACAATCTGCTCAACTTGCTTTGCAGTCTCAAGATTTTGGGGATAGGGCATTCCTGCATTCAAGTGAAAACTATAGATTAAATGCTGAATGACAACATCATGAATAGACTAGTTAATAGTTCAGAAAAAATAACAAGGAAATAAAGTAAGAAAGACAATAGGTACATTAGATTCTGATATTCAGCTTGTTTCAAGTCATGTAAATGGATATGTAAAGTACCTATAGAAGATAAAAACACATAAAAGTGTCAGTTATTCAGGTCATGCTAATAAAGATAATACCAATGACATGCTGCAGCACTATAGACCAGCCAATTCAAAGAATTTCCAAGTTGAAAAAGCTACAAGGATAACCATGTGCTCAAGAACAGCATGCTATTTCGGTATCATTGAATCAGAAAATCTCTTGTCTACAGACCACGATAGCTGAATAAACAAAACTTAGTATATTTTTCAAAGTTATTACGATCCTAATATATATGTAATCATGATAGAGTCAGAAGATGAAATCGTTAATGAGAAAACTGAGACAAACTAGAAACATTACTGAGAAACAGGAGAAATAGGTGAGATGCCTTAACCTTCACAAAAAAAAAAAAACATATTTGCTTCTTATTTGCATGACAGGTGATTTCAGAGTGAGCAATTCTATCATTTTTTTTAATATGGGTATCCTTGATTTTCAAACAAATTTAACAAATTTCATACTCACCCATACCATTATCCATCCAACTAAAGACAGGCCAAGCGACCTCATGCCACCCTCCCACTTCTTTTTAGTCCTCAAGATTTAAGATTAGTTTTACCATGTATGGCATCTGACTTCTGTTGTAACTTCTAAGATCATTTCTTTCATCCCACTGAATTTATAAAAGTAAAAAGAAAAAAAGGATCAATCCTTTCTATACAAGTGCAATTTTAATTAAGAATAGCTAATGCGCATAACGTTTCAAATGCGCATTGCCAGAACTATAAGTACGAACTCAGATTGGCATTTAAATGTTACACACAGCAGATCCATGAATTCACGTATAGGTGTACACTATCACAAACCCCACTATCGTATTTCTATTGATGTTAATGTTTTATTTATATTTGCAGCTCTTATGCCCTAATTTATCAGGTTTTGAACATTCCACACTTGAAATCTGGTCCCTAATCGTATTCAAATTCCACAATACCTTGTGCAAAAATATTAAAGTCTTTCACAGAAACAAGATATACAGAAATGATATTCAATTTTCTATTTAACAATTATACTAGAATGCAAAAAAGAGTAGGCACCATGAGATATGATGGTGGACTCGAGGGCAACAACTGCAACTCCATGTGAGAGAGCATCACGAACAACTGGTGCCACCACCATGCCCATTGTGCCAAAATTATCCATGCTACCCTGTTCCATAACGAATTAATGATCACAAATGTACAGTTATTATAAGTCAGTGAACTAAACTGGGCAATTACAACTGGGTAGCGTAACTCGGATTCATCCAACTTACTTAGGCACTGGGCTGGCTACCAAGTCTAGAACCAAACCAATGAGTGCTTGAATTTATCCAACTTACTCAGGGTTGAGGAAATAATACTGAAAAATGGGAGTATACACAAAAGTTTAATTCACAATAAAATTTTATAGCTCCTAGCCATGACTCCATTTTGACAACTCTCTAAGAAAGCAAGTCAAGTTTTTGATCTCTAAATTTCACATAGAGATAAAGTAGAATAAGCAGCATTTCAAGACTCGGCCAAGTTACTTGGACCCGCTCCCTGGGTGAGCTGAGTTACTCGGTACAACTGGCAATACATTAAAAAATAGAAAAATCATAAAAATAAATAAAAATATGGGATTGATGTATGAAACCTTGTTTATATAATTTAAATGTTCTTGGTAACGATTGGTTAGTTTTTTTACCTTTTGGCATATGCACAGTTTTTATTTTATTTTTTTGGATTTTTTTAAAATGTCCCTAACTATAAATCAATTTTTTAAATCCATACTTGTGTATTTTTTTTTTAAGGTAATTTGAACTGTTTAGGCTGTTTTTGCTTTTGTTTGACCTTTGCTATTTCTCATTACTATTTTTTAAAAACAATTGAAGGCCTTTTTGCACTGTATAGTATTGAGTCCACCCTGACTCGCCCGAGTAACTTACCTCGGGCCAGGACCAAGTAGCTGGCCCGAGGGGAATCTCAAAACATTGGGAATAAGCCTTTAAACAAAATGCATTATTTGATGCAAACTAGAAGATTCACAAACGATTTTCACAAATTACTTCATGAAATCACTTTAAATAAATAAAATTCATGAAAGCATACAACAAGTTGAAAATTTGTCATCATAAATGGGGAAAAAAGGAATAGCATTGTATGTAAATATTCACCAGAAAATAAAAAACAACAATTTTGTAACCCAAAAAACCTCGTCATGAAAACAAATATTAAAGAAATTAACCTCTCTGTCAAAATCAAAACGCCTCGATGAGCTTACCACCACAAATGAGAGCGGTGACCTAAAATATTATGAAATCTATTTAGCAAATACAGTTATTATACGCGGTGGACTTTACAGATGCCAAATAATGATTATCTGAAAGGAAATTTAGAGAAAGAGAGAGAGGATTCTTACATTTATTTGCTCGAACTTCGTGAGATTTCCTGAGGCTGGCGATCCCATGTTTTAAGACGAGAGAGAGAGAGAGAGAGAGAGAGAGAGAGAGAGAGAGAGAACGAAACTAATAGTACGTAACGAACTAAGTACGGTACGGGACGGTAGTAGAGTAGTAGGTAGGGGTTAGGGGTTTAGGGTTAAGGTAAGTAAGAAGGAACGGGACGG